CATGCAGAGAAGATGCATAGTATATCTCATACACACGTGCAGTGCTCCGAACATAAACCTGAAGGATTTCATGCTTTCGAGCAAAGCATACTGCAGAAAAAGGGAAACTGCCTTACTGAAAACAAAAAGTGATAAAATTTGGGCAAAGAAAATTGCAGAGAAAATAAAACCAGCTTATTATTTAATATGATTGACTTTAAGTAAAGCATTCTGCAGAGAAAAGGAAAGTACATTATTACTGAAAATAAAAATGACAAAATGCGAGCAAAGAATGATGCAGAGAACACAAAACTACCATATTATTGAAAATAAATTGATAAATTTTGAGAAAAACATACCACAGCTAAAGGAAGACTAAAACATTATTGAAAAACCAATGATAAAATTATTTAACCTGTGAAGGGGAAGAATCTTACACTTTTAGAGCAGAATTGAAAAAAACTGTGGCGCAATAAAAATAAATTTAAAAAAATACTTCATATTGAAGAGGCTCTTGACTAGAAGAAATGAATGAAACTAATGAAATTCAATGATTACTACTACACTTACAGACTCACTAAACTTATCAGAACAATGTATTGTTAGTTGATAGCACAGTTTACAATCACTAAAATTCACATTACACCTTATCATACCAAGATACCCATCCCCCCCCCCCCCACTTCCATTATACTGAGTATTAAGGATACAGGGAAGTGGAAAAAAACATGAAACTATTAACATGGCTTTTGTTCCAGTTAATCAATCACCAAGCTATCGAATGTACTAAATACATATCATCAGCCCACTTTTTTTCAATTAATATGTATGAATCACCTAGTTACCAGCTAGAGTCACTCAGCGGTTCACTGGTTCAGTGAACCAACTAAAAACGATATAACAAAATTCAATTGTAAGTAGATCAATCAAGTAACAGTCATAATCATTCTAAAACAAAAGTTAATATTCCATTCCTCATTTCGAACTGAAACTGTGAAACTAATCTATGCAACGCGATCTTCACCTCAAATAGTCATCAACTCCGAAACTTTCATTACATACGGAGTACATCTAATAATCATAAAGATAGAGAAACATGAGATAAACTTACTTTTGATTTCACAAGGATCGGAATCAGGCGAATGAGGCTTTGCGATAAGAGGCGATTTTGGAGTAGAATCGGGATCAGTTGGAGGAGAATCGGATGACTCGACGGTGACGGCGCTTTCTAGAGAGCCGTGAGCAATCAACCAGTTCGTCGTGGAGACGGAGCTCGGCGAACTTCCGCCACTGGAACAGTCGCTGTTGCCGTGATCTTCCCCGTCGGTGGTCGGAGTAGTCGGAACCATCACCATCTTCGCGTTAATTGTGAATGCGTTCGATGCAAGCCAAACATATACTGTCTATCCACCATATCTCTTCTCATTTCATTTTTTAAGAAGTAAAATACCACAACTATCCCCACTTACTTTATTTATTACACCTCACCCACCTCATTTAATATACTCCACCCATTTTTCATTAAGGGTATTATGGTAAACTTTCACCTTTTTTCAACTCTCCTTAAAAACCACCAAAAGTCAAAATGAGAACATCTTAGGCGGTCACCTTTTTTCAACTCTCCTTAAAAACCACCAAAAGTCAAAATGAGAACATCTTAGGCGGACGGAGGGAGTATCAAGCCCACTCTGAAATTGGTATACTTCACCGCCACTTCTGTGTAGTTTGATTTCCGTCAAATTGTTACTTTCACGGTTCCCGGTTAATACTTCAGCTAGTATATATATTTCTTTCTTTCATGATTTAAGATAAAAACAAAAATTAGTCACGTTCTCTTTAATTTATTTTTATTATCTATTATCTTTTCTTGGAATCAAATCAACAATAATTTTTATTACTTTCTCTATACCTAAATATTTTTCATATTTTGCAAAACGAAGTAAAATATTGAGTTTTTCAATTCATTTTATTTGAATATTGCTATTAAAATTTAAAAAATTCAAATATTTAAGGACTACATGAAAAAATTCTTCGAAATAAGAGGTGTCAAAAATATTGTATTTTATCAAATAATCAATGAAAAGTACAAATAAACAAAAGTTTTCGTTATTGTTGAAAAAGGAAATGTGACATTCTGTATGGGACGTAGGGAGTATAATTATATCAGAAAATATCAGATAATATCGGAACTTATATTAGTTTTCATCTCAATATATTTGGTGGCATTAATCCATGTTGACAACTAAAACATATATAATATGGCCTCATACTCCGCCTCGTTATTAGATGCCTTAAAATTGAATCGGATAAAGTAGTACGCTCGCAATTCTTCTGGGGAAATGAGTCCAAATTAAATGACCACCACTCCTCCCCCTGAATTTTCACCAGTGGAGGAACTAGACGTGTCGGCGGATTCAGTCGCCTCTAGAGTCGACTCGTCTTTGGATGTACACTCCACCACAAAAATCCACCAATACTTGCCCTTCAATTGCTAGCATGGGCTGAATTTCATCTGAAAGGCCCTTAGATACACAACCCACATAGACATGCGCGAGGGCACATTTGGGCTCCATAACAGCGCTCCGATAGGTTGATGAGAGAGATCACATGCATTAGATGCACTTAGAAGTAGGGTGTTAGTTGTTGCCCAATGGACACCACCACTAACACAGTCTTTTCGGTTACCGAGTACCTAATCTCAAGTCCTCTAAGTGTCCTGGCATGTAATACATCGGGTGTTGGGCTCCATTTTCCTTTCGGACGAAGATGAGCTCAAGGCTTTGGGTGACACACTCGGGTACAAGTACAAGGTCTCTTCTGCCTCGGGTATGGATAGTACCGGCGAGGAAAATAGGTAAGACTAGAGCGATTCGAAGGTCTGTTGGCCCTCCTCCATCAATACAAACTCTTTGGCCTTTTTCACTCCTTGGAAGAATGAGGTTGTTCGATTGGCCACCTTAGAGAGGAAGAAGATGAGAGCAGTCAACTTGTCGGTGACGCGATGCACCTTCTTGAAATGTCATGGGGCCTCCATGTTAAGGATGGCCACACCTTCTCCGGGTTGGCCTTGATGTCGCACCTAGTCACCATGTCATTGTCCTCATTGCATGAGGTGGAAATGTAACGGAAGACATTCGTTCAGACGTTAGAGACATCTACTTTGGTGCCGCTTAAGCCCATTTGTGATGTCAAGGTGCTATGTTGAAGTTGTAATTTTTATGTATGTAGACAATGCAACATCTGGGAGTGCTCTATTTGAATCGACTAGTAAGTTTTTAGTGACGTTTTAAGGTTGTTATGCTTCCTACCAAATCCAGTCCTTATGAAATCCATGGGTTGTCGAGAGGCTCTTTTGAAGTTGAAGTCCTGTGGTTTTCGATCCGTGGAGCTATACTCTTATACTTTGAAGGTGATGAATGCACTTGGTCGAGGGATAGCTCTTCATTTGCTTCTTACTTGGTTCTATTTTAGAATTATGTAAGGTCTACTTGGCCTCCTTGGATTCAATTGCTTTTGTTCACTCTTTGTTGGAGATTACTCTTAGGGAGTGTATTCAACTCAGATTTTATAAGATTTTAATAAATTGTTTAGAATCTACGAATTTTCCATAATCCATGGATTATTTTAAGTCTATGTAGAATTAGATAGATTTTAGTGTATTTTATCAATAAGATTTTATAGCATTTGTATGATTATTTATAATCTTTGGATTTTTTATATCTAAATATGAATTATTTAAAAAAAATCTTTATTCTTTAGTTTATTATGCTTGTCTTCCTCCCCATGACATTTCAACAAGGGAAATATACACAGCCGCCAAACAACTCCAAACCAGAAGCAAAATCGCAGGGAAGACGATGAAGTGATGAACATTAAGCTCAAGCAAAAAATGGACGTGAACGACAGGCAAACTTGTCCCCATGCGTTGCTTGATTGTGTGTATACGCAAGGCAACCAAAAGTGCGTAGGTGAGTGTAGGATGGTTCTTGACCAAAAAGGATAGTATATGGAGTTTTACCTTGTAAGAGAGGTGTGGGTGTACGATTGATGAGATATGCTGCAGTAAGGACACAATCACCCCAGTAAGGTATAGGAAGGTTAGCTTGAAACCGGAGAGCTCGTGCGACATTGAGGATATGTCTATGCTTTCGTTCAACCCTCCCATTCTGTTGGGGAGTGCCGACGCATGAGGACTCAAATATGATCCCTTGAGAGGCAAAGTATGGTTTCATGCATGTGAACTCCGTTCCGTTGTCACTCCGAAGTGTTTTAACTTGAGCATTAAACTGACGCTGAACAAAAGAGAAGAAATTGTGCAAGACGCTGGACACCTCATCCTTGTGATTTAAGAGATATACACAGGTTGCCCGTGAAAAATCATCAATGATGGTCAAAAAATATTTGGCACCAGTACGTGATGGTGTACGGTACCCCCCCCCATAGGTCACAATGTATTATTTTAAAAGAAACATCTGATTTATTCAAACTGATGGGAAAAGAATCACGGCATTGTTTAGCCCGAAGGCATACATCACAAGGTAAAACATTTTGAGAAGACGAAGAAGAACCAAAAAGGAAGAAAACGACAAATTTCTGGAGAGGGATGACCAAGCCGTTGATGCCATACGGTAAAATCCTTCGTTGCTCGCACAGCACACGCACTATCATGCACTCCCGGAATAAGATAGTAAAGACCAGCAGCTTGCTCACCTGTTCCAATCACCATCCTCGAGATATAGTCCTGCATTATGCAAAATTTGTTAGTAAACTAGACAATTATTCGTTCCTTTTCAAGAAGTTGAGAGACAGAAATTAGATTGTAGTTGAGTTTAGGCACTAGCAAAACATCGGTGAGTGTTAAAAATTTATTTAACACGACATCTCCCACTTGCGCAGCTTCTGCGCTTTCTCCATTAGGTAGTCCGACTTTGCATTCTTTGATACTTCGTATGTTCATCAATCTGTGTCTATCTCTAGTCATATGTTGGCTAGCCCCGTTGTCTATAATCCAAGAACCATTGGTCGTACCTGAAAATTGATTTTCACACTGCACGACAGTCTGACCCGCGAAGCATCCCTCGGCTGTTTTGTCTCTTGTCTGGTCCGTTCTGTCTGCTACTCGGTTTCCAGTGCCGCGTCCGGCAGTGACGCCTCCCCTGCCGCCACGTCTGCCCGGTAGTACGCCGTCACCGCGACTGCCTCCTCGGCCGCCTCCCTGCATGCGAGGTCTATATGCTCACCACTCCGGATAACCTATGATTTGGAAGCAACCACTTATTTCATGTCCCATTTGTCCACAATGTTTGCATTTAAGATTATTGTCTCGAGTCGGTCTACCGGCAGCCGCGGCGAACCCTACTGGGTTTCGCTCTTCTTCGGTTGTTAGCTTCAAAACTCCTTCTTGTTGAGTTATCACAGAGTAAACTCTATTGATCGAGGGGAGAGGCTCCGTGCTGAGAATATTGGAGCGGAGGCTACCATACCCTTCATTATCGAGTCCCATCAAAAATTGATGGACTTTTTCTTCGTCACGTTGTTTTTCCAACAAAGCGGTGAGGCCGCACTTGCATCCTCCACACTTACAAACCGGCACTTTCAACATATCATATAGCTCATCCCAGATCGCTTTCAGTTTTCCATAATGTTTAACGATTTCCTGGCCGTTTTGCTTGGTGTTGGCGAGTTCTTTCTTTAATTGGTGAATGTGCGGACCATTCGCCACGGAGAATCTGGCCTTTATGTCGTTCCACAAGTCTGTTGCGACCTCCACTTGTGTGATAGAGTTCCGCAGATCCGTCTCAATGGTGTTATAGATCCATGAAACGAGCATCGCGTTCACGATCCACCATTCCTCAACTTCGTCGGCATCATCCTCGGGACAAGGAACAGACCCATCAATGAAGCCGAATTTTCTTTTGGCGCGAAGGGCGATTCTCATAGCCCTTGCCCATTCTGCGTAGTTTCTTCCAGTCAATTTGACCTGCGTAATCAGCAAGCCTGGGGTGTCTACAGACTTCAGATCATATGGACTTGGTTTCACTGCTTTCACGTCATCTTCATCAGCCGTCTTCTTGGACGGTTTTTCCGGCTTGGGTATCTCGGTCATGGCGCTGAATTTTGCTCTGATACTATGTAAAACCGTGCGTGTGATGCAAATAGAGAGAAAGGAATTTTATTATCTGTGTTTGTTGATTGATACAATAAATCTTCCCCCAATATATAGGAAGAAAAGTTCCCCAAAACCAAATAGGAAAATAAGTCTACCTAAGAAAGAAATCCTAATCTAACTAGGAGTAGAACTCCTAAGCCGTGTGACTAAGCCCAACCGTAACACATTCAATTGATTGAAGAACCAACCAAAAATTCTTAAACGCCACACGTATATGACTAAGAAACCCAACAAATTAAGCCGGAATTGGGTAAAAACTCCAAGAAATCAAACCTTTCACCTACCACGGTGAGTTGTAAACCTGCGAGAGATTTCTTTTGATTACGCCAAATTAAACTCCAAATCAGCCGAATTGAGCTGAAATTTTGAAGATTTAGCTGATCACGAATCCACAGCACAAAAAAAAACCAAAAATGATACAGAATTACGAGAGGAATGACGCCTTAGGGAATCGGCATGAACAAACTCTCACAACAAAGTGAAGCACTAGAGAAGATGAAGAGGAGTTGGAAGGTCAAGATGAACTGGAGAAGATGAAGATGGTGAACCACTTTGTTGGGGAAGAACGGAACAAAACACAACGGAAGCGTATAAAATCTTTTCCCCAAATTAATAAGATGAACAACAAAGCACAATATACTCTAGAAATCAGCACCACCGCCACAAATAAATAGCAACGGAAATAAAATAAAGAACACACGATTTACGTGGAAACCCCAAATCGGGGAGAAAACCACGGCCGCTCAACAACGGCACCCAAACTTCCACTAATCACCAAGAACCAAGTGGGTACAACAAGTTCTCCTCTCTAGTAAACACTAGAGGCATACACAATCATCAAGGAGCAACCTTGGAACAACAACAATCAACAATTCAACATAAAATGGAGTAAAAACTCCCAAAAACGCAGGTCTGAAAAGGCAGCTAGAAAACAGCCTTCCGGGCATCAAAATGAGAATCTGACCGTTGGATTTGAAGAGGAGTATGTGAGGAACAACATACTAAAATTTGAGCACGATCGGACTTCGTTTGGCCTTCGATCCGGAGGTGAAAAGTTGCTTCTGTAGAGAGTGGCGGAAATCCTTTTTTTTTCTTCTCACTTCCTGCGTTAGCTACTGCCCATTCTTCACCTCTTCTTTTTCTTTCTTTCTCCCTTATCCCTTTCTCTCTTTTTTTTTCTTTTCATTTATTTAGTATATGGGCCACCATAAAATATTTGGGCTAAAACTTTACACACAAAAAATAAGCCCAAAACAAAAGAGAGACATAATGTGTTGTCCAATTAAAATTGAACACTTCCTCCATGTAGGAGGGAAATTTCCCAACAAATCTCCCCCTCACTCCTACATGGAGTGAGCAAACAAACCGGCCTTCTCTCGACAAAACACGAGTTTCTCCTTCGGTAATGTCTTGGTCAACATATCCGAGCAATTCTCACTTGTGTGAATCTTCACAAGTTCAAAAGACTTGTCCT